GGCTCGGGGGTGGAGCTTCGCGGGAGGGAGGGAGGGAGGAGTTTGATTGACAACTTCCGTGGGGCCCCGCCAGCCTCTCTGATGCTGCGCGAAGGTCGGTTTCCCGCATGGGGAGGACAGAGACCAGGGGCAAGAATGCATGCCAGCTCCTGTGGCCAATCACAGAACCCAGCGGCAAGGAGGGGCGGGGAGAGGCGTAGCCTCCTAGACGGTTTATTACGCGTCTGGCCGAAGCGGGGGCGGGGGCGCAATTGTGTGACGGACATCGGAGCTAGCCAATCATAAGTGAAGGCGGCGAGCGGGGTGCCAAGTGCGTCATGGCAAGCGAACGAATCCTCTTGGGAGGGAGGAAAAGGGTCCCTCCGTCAGTGAGCACCTTTGCACGCCTGCGCAACAGCTCCAGGCTATCATTGCTCTCCTGACAGCCTAAAAGAAGACCGGAAAAGTAGAAGTGGGGGAGTTGAGGGAGCCAGATGGAGTACTCCTTCCCCACCCTCGGCTCTCTGGCCTCTGAGGAACTGTAGCGACGGAGGGGGTGCCTGAGGGTTGGGGCGCGAAGACGACAGGCCGCCAGGTGTTGCGTCAACTGAAAGGGGGCGGTCGAAGGCCGGGTAGGGATTGAGCGGTGTGATTCACGAGCCAAGAAGCCTCCCGGGAAATCCTATCCGGCGGGGCCTTGGAACCTCACCGGCCTTAAACCAAGTCAATGGTGGTTTCCAGATATGTAGCCGTTTGGTGGTTTAGGACCGCGGCTCTCCAGAGCTGCTCTCACGTGCAAGTCCAAGACCTCCAAGGAGAACTTGTTCATTCCCAATTTAGTGCCCCACCGATTTACAGCCCTGTTTGCAGCCAGAGACCATCCACTACTACACAGTGAATAGACATTGGCTGCCCAGTGGTTTGTGTATTTGGGAGCTTTCCGTTTATACTTACTAGGATCACTTTCTTGGTGATTGTCTGGATTTATAAATTCCTAAAGGATAACTCACCATCTTAATTTTTACAGTATATCTCATAATGGGCTTAATTCTGAAAAAATAAAGGGACAAGACAGACTTGAAGAATTCTCAAAGGATTAGGAAAACAGAACATCTTTACAGATAATAGCTTGAGAGAAAAGGGTATGCTAAGGAGCTGAAGGGAGTTCGGTTTAAACTTTATACTGTGGTCAGAAGATAGGTAAAGGGCAGCTTTGTGCCAGTGAGTGAACTTTCTCCTTAAGACTAGGAAAACGTTGAAAGGTTTTAAGCTGACAGTAGAGTGGCCTGATCAAATATGCAGGCTTCAGAAATTACACTCTTGGGAGAGGGGAGGGAGAGGAAAACATGATTTGATACCAAGGGCTCAAGTGGAAAGCAAATGTTTTGAGAATGATGATGGCAATAAATGTACAAATGTGCTTGACACAATGGATGTCTATATGGATTGCTATAAGAGTTGTATGAGCCCCAATAAAATGATTGAAATTTTAAAAAGAAGAAGAAACTACACTGTTAGTGGTGTGAAAGACAACTGACTCCACAAGATAAGGCCACACACACACAGGTAGGGAGGTCAGTAGGCCACATGAGGAATGATGGAAACCTGAACAGGCACCTGAGGTGGGACCCAGAGATGTGACTCTGGAGATGGAGAGAAATAAAAGGACTTGGTGATTTAGTGTGAAGGGCAAAGGACAGAGCAGGAGAAAATGACATCCATATATTTGGATTGAGAGAGGAAAAGATGAAATTAATAAATTGAACATACTGAGTTTGAGGGCAGTGTAATAAGCAGTGCTAGTGTGCAGTTGGCACCCAAAGGTTCTATGCTTCAGACAGATTTGATTATCATCAGGGAACAGGTAGTGGATGGGCTCTAAGATACTTATGTTCTCCAGAGTGGAGTGTGTAAAATGAGAAAGAGGGTCAAGAGAAAATCTCAGGTTCCCATAGTTGAGGAAGCAGCAGAGAAAGATGGTATCATGTTTGCGAGTGTCAATAGGGTGGGCCTTGAGGTTAGTGGAGTGGGGGCTGAAGAATTTCTAATGGAAGATGTTTCCTTTACAGATTTTTGGTGAACTTTAATAGTAATTTGGCTCCCACTTAGCAATTTATAAACGTGAACATTCTCATTTTTCATTTTGGTTCTATTTTCATTAATCCAGCTTCCCTGACCCCAACCAACTTCAGGGGTGTCAAATAAAATGAAAATAGAAAAAAGTGTTATGAGGAAAATACCGCTTAAGGGATATCAAGGCAATACTGTACACACAAGTTTCCCTCATTACATTTTATTTCAGCGCATCATGGGCCACAAAAAATTACCTCGGGGGCCGCATGAGCCCTGTGGCCACCAGTTTGACACCCCTGAACTATATCATCCTTGCTTTAGGGTAGATATTGACTGATCTCACAGGTGATATTGATTATTCTGTGAGCCAATCTGTAGTTAGCCGAAAGGTGACCTCTGGAAGTGGTTTTGGTTCAGTTTACATGGCATCTCAGGGATAATAGTTTGGAGAGTTCCTCTAATCTCCAACAGTCCAGTAAGTTTGACCTTTCCTTTCTTTCTCATTTTAAAGAATTTGAGTTTGCAACAATTTTCTCCCCTTCTATTGCAGACTATCCATTTTGTCCCTTGTCAGAATGGTTGTTGGTGGTAGCTGGGCACCATCTAATTATTCTGGTTTCAAGATAGACGAGGTCATGGTTCATGAAGGCAATTAATCCTGTACACAAATATCTTCTTTGGGTTTTTGGTTTCCTTCTTTGTCTTTTGCTCCAGATGAGTAGAGTCTAATAGCTGTATCTTTGATGGCCACTTGAAAACTTTTAGGACCCCAGATACTTCTCACCAAACGACAATGTAGGACATAAACTTTATGGACTATGTTGTGCTATTTGACTACGTTGTCCCGAAAGACTATGTCTTGAACCTCCAAACTCATTTAACCAACCCTGCCAAGTGTTTGGGTATATCTCGGAAATGTCATGTCTCTGTTTTATTATATGTATGTGAACATTTGTATATACCTACAGAAACTTTTACTTGCGCACATATACCTTTAATGGAAAATGTTTTTAAAAGACTGGATGGGGAAATGGGAATCAAAGAGAGTGATTGAAGGTAATTGTAGGTGTCCAGGTGATACTTGAATGAGTGGTGCAAGCAATGTGTCAACACCACCTGTGGAGCTCTTCAACGCCTCCTTATACCTGCCTACCTCCCCAAGGGAAATAAGAATCTTGGAATGAGACATGCATTTTAGGGGGGGGAAATCCCAACTAATACTCCCAACTCCTGGTCCCTATTCCGACATATCAGTATTTTAAACTTAAGATGGTCTTGGATATTTTTGCAAATTTACAAAAGAAAAGCAAGAAAATAATTGATTAAAGGTGGGTGACAAGTCAAAAAGAAGAATTAGAAATGATGCCAAGGTTTTGAATTGGGGGGCCAAATTAATTTGGCCTTCAAATCTGTTCTGACTCAGAGTGACCCTGTAGCACAGGGTAGAACTGCCCCTGTGGATTTCCAAGACCAGTAACTCTTTACAGGAGCAGAATGCCTCACCCTTCTCTTGAGGAATGGCTGAGGTTTCAAGCTGCTGTGTGGTTTGCAGCACAACCCACTCTGCCACCAGGGCACCTAGTTTATACACGTTGAATCTACAGGAATTGAGTTTGTTAAGGTCATTGAAGCTAGATAGTTGAGCCTTTATTTTAAAGTGGCATGTTGCATTATAATTTGGGGAAATGTTGCATATTATTTTGGGGAAAGAGATGACTAGACTAGGCTGACAGCCCAGAGTGGGCCAGAAGAAAGAATTAACACAAACAACTGCAAGCCTCATTTTCCTCTTTAAGGGGGAATAAAAACATGAGAGAAACAAATGGTAAAAGAGAGGTAGATATGCTCCGAGATCCCAGGATCTAAAGGACTTGCTCCTCTCCTGCCTCTTCTCTCTCGCTACTAATGAGATTTCTCCCCTCCTGCTTCTGAGATGACACTTTATACTCAGAAGGATGACACAATTGTCTGTTTTCATTCATAGCAGAACCATATAATCAAATTAGCATTTCCCCGCCACCTTCTTACCCATACTTCTCAGGAAAGTAGAGGTTGTTTGATTGGAGTAACAAAGGCTCTGCCTAGAAGAGCCATAGTAAATAATGGACTGCATTGCACAGGGAAACAAAGGTGAGGAGGACAACAGCCT